GAAATAGTCATTATTCCCTCTCATTCTCCGGAGATATAATCATCCATAGACTTACTAGACGCATTTTTAATAAGTCTGATATAGAATAGTCGTGGATGAAATCCATTAATGAATTTCATCCACATCAAGAAACATCAGAGATTTTTGTTTACACATAAACATAAAACTTTTTTAGCAGATTTATTCTAAAGTAAGTAGGCTTTAAAAATAGCTTAGTTTAAGATGGTTTCATTTTCACCACATTACCGTATCTCGAAATATAATTCTACTGTTGTTCGCTTTAATGTTAGAATGCATATACTAAATTAAAGGTTGCTTCGCATTACCACAATTTACTACGTATTTCAGCAATTTGCTGCATTATTGGCATTTACGCCTGCACGGTAATATAGAATTAATATTTGTACGGCGTAATATACCTGAGCGGCTCACAGAGGCAAACAGGAACAATTTAAGGCAGATTCGACATAGTATTATGTTAAGAAAAATGTTCTAATTGCACAAGATATCTCTATAACACTAACCGTTCTCTGTAGATGTAATAAATTTCGAAATTCTATTCCAAAAAAAGAAGTTCGTAGGTACATAGGCAACTTTCCAATTGCCCAATTCCCATTGGCAATTAACATCTTAGAATTCGTAAATTTTAGTCGTAAAACTACACATTGTTCAATATTCACATTGTGAAGTGGAATATTCAAATATCAAGTATTCTTCCCCAAACCGCACCATCGAAATGAAATCGATATTAGTATGCAATCCAAGTGTCTATCAATATTGGATTTCTAATGTAACAGTCATAATATATAACCAACATCCAGTGCAGAAAATACGATCAAATGCAAGAGTTTGACAATAAAAGCAAACTGCTATATAAATATGCGCCATACTTAAAGGATACCACAAAGTTAATATAGTATGATTCCATAGTTGCTTTAGGAAATCTGGCTAACGCTTTACATGCATGTACCATATGTGTATTATCTATTAAGTGATAAATGTCATGTTTGAGAGCTAGTGGGAAGGTTTGAAATATTCAGCACTATAGATTTTGATAAGAGGCTAAAATATTGATACATAAAATTACCCTTAGGAATTTTGAAGTGTTTTATATTTATTATTTTTTTTATATTTTTAACGTGTGTGTGTGTGTGTGTGTGTGTGTGTAAAACAAACTTGTCCGCAAATATATTAAATTAAACTAAAAGTATTTTGTTTCGACTAAAATTTCCACGAGTTTATAACTATAATTAGCTAAAGTAAAATAAATGATGAGCACTTAATTAAGCTAAATAATCAGAACTGATATCATAAAAAAGCATCGCACCATCCTCAAGAAGTTAATTATCTATTTACATTTTTCACTATGATAAAGCAAAGTGCTAAAGGAATATTCTATTTACTCTTCTTAGCCAATTCAAATTTAATTACAAAATATCCAGGTTATTTAGAGATTCACTTAAAAAGAACGAAGAGTTTAACCAGCAAAGTAAATGACAGTCCCTTTAAATAGTTTATAAAGATAAATCCTCCGGAGCTAATTCCGAGATAGAAAACAGCCTGTATGCTCAAGGAGATTATATACTGCTTGTCTATTTTCATGTAGTAAGACCAAATATATTTTTTATTTTTCCAACTCGTGCACCCGGTTGAGCTTTAACTTCGACAATTTCTGATGATATAGGAGATTCTCAAAAAAGATTAAATAATTTTTTTAAAGTTACTTTTAATGAATTGAGTTATAAAGTTGTTCATTTATGTAACGGGGAAATATTGATAGCATATTCAGATTTTGCAAATATATAAAAAATATTACTTTAAAGGCTATGTAATTAATAATGATTGACATATTACTCCACGAAATATTTTAAATAATGTCTTGGGAATTTATTCCAAACGTGCTTGTGGTCTTAAGTGACGAACAAGATGAAATTCCATAACCAAGAGAACTAAAATAATATTCCGAGAAATCCTTTAATAAAAATTGAGTGTATATAAGTGTATATCCTCGCTAACTGCACAGACTAGAAGCAGATAAGTAAAGCGAACTGAAGATATTTGAGGGTATAATCTGCTGAAAGCGAGCAAGAACGTGTTCTGTATACAGAATCGCAGTTGGGCCAACATAAGAATTTAAATAGTCGAAATGTCACACTCTTGAAAATGAGACTGATTTACATTGGAATGTTGCTTATTAAATATTTACTCGAATTCAGGTGACGGCCTGCGGACATTTAAATGCGAGTCCGACAAATTCCTCCATTATCTAAAACTCCGGACAAAACAAACTGTTTAGGTATTTAGGTAGGGCGAAATTGCTGAGCGCTATAACACTCTGCAGCTGGTATGTACAACACTATCTTTCGGAGACAATGCTGTACGACTTAAATAAACCGTTGATGAGAAGACAAAAATTTGTCATCACAAGTAAATTGCGGGAATATGCATAGAATGTTAACGAATGGGACAATTTTCAGATTTAGCTGTCAGTGAGCAATTACAGAAAACGCTCGGAAGGTAACTTAACCATATCATTGCTGTAATGTTAAGTAGTAAAATAATTTTCAACTCAGCTTTTTATTATACAAAGGCCCTGTTTCCGTGCGGGTTTCTACCTATTTTAGGGTTTTTCGTTCTTCTAATATGTGCTCGTAAAATATCGACTACGTTCTAAATAATCAGTTTCGAGTTTACTGATTTAGTGGAAAATTTCTTGTAGCTTTTATGTGACTTCCAAATAGCTGCTATATTATACCTCGGACAGAAGATGTATCAGACGCTCAAACAGAAACGACGCAAAAGTACACTTTAATACAAAAACATTTTAAATTGAGGTAATCCCCTGAAGCTGACAATGTCCTCTTCGAGAATGCAGTGTTAGCTAAGTTTCCAACGTAGGGCGAGCTTACATTATTATATGAATATGAAGTGTTTGGAATTTTTTATCTTTAAAAACTATAAAGAAAATCATAAGTGTTTCAAAAATTCAATGCTGGTTTATGGAAACAGTTGATTAGAACAATAACGACGAATTGAAATTGGTTGGATATATATATTGTTGACCGCATATTTTTATACAGCTCGCAAGCTGGCAACAAAACGAGGTTGTATTATAAGGTTTAAGTATTTTAAGCGGGCTAAGGCAAAATGCTTTCTTATGCAGCTAAATACACACTCCTTGCATTTCAAATGAAAATTTATAGCCAAGGAAAAATTTAATTGAAAGTAAACAGATGCCTTTTCAGTTACCGTTATTATATTCCGTTTAGAAAGCGCTAAATTTATGAATAGTAGCGTCCGTTTAATTCACTTAAAGTTGGAAAAAGGAATAACCTATGACGAGAATAATACGCAGTTATAAAATATTCCGATCCAACTAAACCATTTCAAATACGAATTAATGTCGAGCGCATCAAGCTTTACGCAAAGAACTTTCAGGTTATTTTAATTGTTTTCAATATGCTTTAAGGCTGCTACAAAGAATGGCCATCGATAAATACATCGGTTGAAAATAACCAAAATAAGCTTTGTTTTATTGAAACAACTTTCTTAGCTCCTAGCAGCCGAAGAAAACATAGCAAATAATGTTTACAGTGATTTAATATTTTAGTTAACTGGCAACTAAGATAAGATTTTGTAAAAATAAATACTACAAAGCTGAACAATAATGTGACGCAGATACGCAAATGCTAGCAATCCGGGGTAATTTTAATTAAAATTGCGAGGTAAAAGCAACCCCTGTAACTACACCCTTTGCAGTTATCTTTTTGCTTTGTTACAGGTCAAATACCAAAGCCCGAGCCAGAATTTCTGGCTGCCTTAGAGAATCAGACAGTCACTCAAGGCAGGGATATCGTCTTTACTTGCGTTGTCAACCACTTGTCGAGTTACAAGGTAAATATTTTATCTCCTTCAGGTAATTTGAGGCCTATACATAATTATCCATCCCTCTTGAAATATAATGCTTTTAATTAAACTTATTAAACAATAAATCAACATAATGACATGCTATTTGTTATTGGGTACTGCAATGATTCAAAAGCATTTAATTTTGTAAGAGTAAACAGCAACCACGTAGTATAATATTTGTATGGAAACTATACGAGCTTACCCAGCTGAAGTCGAACTATTTGAAAAATTCTCGATTGGAGGCCAAAACTAACGGGTTTACCGTAATATAAAGTCTTTGTGACGAAGTTATTTTTCCAATATACCCCGATATCTTCAATTTCTCACGCGTCTGAAATGTAGGAAAAGAAAAGTATAAAATGATTTTATCAAAGATGCCGCTCAGATCATCGATAGTACCTATATATAGAGTTGATTGCATTGTGGGTTTGCCGGAGGTAACACAAAGATGTCCAATCAGCCTGCACCAAGCACTTATTGGATTTCAGTTCTTGCAAACGAACTTTCCTGTAAATAAAATCAGGCGAAAAACCAATTGTGACCATTCGTGGTAATCAATTCCTATTATATGCGCTTTCTTTCGCTGAAATCCGTCAAAAGATCTCTGGAAAATGTTTTTCCACGCTTTTATTTCACTGTGTAGGGTGCCGCAATGTGAATTATATTAGATATTTATTTTCAGGATCGGCTATAAAATTTCATATTATTAAGAAACACTAATCGTGAACAATATGCATAAAATGTATCGAATATAATCGGCTTATTTGATAGCGTCATTGATTGATAACTGAAAAATAGATGCAGCGTGAGATCGGCCATAATTTCTGTACCCACATATGTAGAGGAGAGACCTATTTCAATGGGATACTTAAACAGACGTTCTAAACCCGCGTAGCAATATTTTGAAGAGATTCGCATTATCAAAAATACTGCAGTTTAAAGGTGCCTGATTCAAAAGACTCAAAAAGACTAGATGCAATAAAAACTATAGAGAAAAAATAAATTTCAAAAAGGAAGGAATCCTCGAAGAAAGAAGAATATACACAGCAGAATTGTTAAAACTAACAACTACCCAAGCAAGTTTTCCGGAAATTGTCGAACATGTCTATAAATAAAGTTTAAGAAATGAACAAACATGGCGTTTGCTGAACCAGATCCATTTAAGTATATCGAACTTGTTTATAGCTTTGTTTAATAGAATCCACATGGATGATAGTTCATCGTATCCAAGCTGTCTTTTAAAAGTAATCATTTAATCGTTGAAACTAAATGGTCAAAATTGGGATTTCAGATTTAATTCGGCGTGGGTAAAATTATACTGAACGACAAAAACAATTTTGCATCATCTGCACTACTTTGAATAAAGAGAGTGAACCTATAGAGCATTCGTGAGAATTGAAAACGGCTTTAAAAGCTGGAAAGTTTTAATTAAATCATTTATTAAAATTTAATGAAACAGACTTAACGGAATTGTTTCTGGGTCTCCGGAGACCAAAATATTTTACCGCACGTCTGGTTCACATGTGCTGTTAATCACTTGTCTTCTCTCCGAGTAAATCTACCACGATATATCTTACGCACTGGGATGGATATAAATTTAATAATATACAGGGCCGTGTGTAATGGTCTTGATAAATTAGGGATGTCTTCTAACTTACCTGAATAGGTGGATATCCGATTAAACACAGAATGGTCTGAATTACCCTTTATTTCCGCTTTCCATCCTTAGTACATGCACTTTTTATTGAAAACCTAAACAGCAAATAAACTTTAAATATCATCAGTTTGCCACATTTTTTATGCTATTGAGGGCGAATGTTAGTTTTATATGTGAACTTCTGCAGCAACTGCCAGTAGTGCACGTTTATCCATTTATTTCAGGTTGCTTGGATTAAGTCCGACTCGAAAGCAATTCTTGCCATTAACACACATATGGTGGCGCAAAATCCACGACTCGAGGTTACTCACAATGGACATAATACCTGGAAACTAAAGGTACATAATGTACAAAAGAGTGACGCAGGGACTTACATGTGCCAGATTAACACCGACCCAATGAGAAGCCAGGTATGAAGTGTTTTTGAAACTGTTGAAGTATAAATTAAACAACCAGATATGCAAAATAAAGAGCGATGATTTGGATAATTACTATAAATCTTAAGGTTGAGAAGCATTGAATAAAATCCCAATAAAACACTTTGAGAGAAAACTACAACAAGCCATTTTAAAGCATTAATATAGAGTGAAAAGTTATACCATACGAGCACTATACCTAACGAGGATTCAACTTGTGAGCAGAAATTTAATTATGAATTAATGTATTTAATGAAACTCATGCCATAGAATTTTAAACACATTTCTGTTGCGAAACCATTTTTGTTGGAATTAGGGAATGGGCTTAATTTTTGTGGTACGAGTGAAGCGTATTGTGTAAAGCTTTGGATTTAATACGAAATTCCAGGAGAATTTTTTCACGTGCTTTATTTCCATTTGTTTCACTTTTTACTTGTCCTAGAAACTGTCTAAAGTGAAAGCGAAAAAGTTTGCTTCAACAGAAGGAAGATATTGTTTTGATGTTTTAAATAATTTTGAGAACAGGCAGCTTGAAATCTTAATCTGTTTAGAAAATGATCAGTTTTATTTATTTGAAAGTTTATACGAGTCAAACATTTTTGAATGTTATACCTTTCCTTTCTCGGCTAGATTACTATTTAAAAAAAGGAAAATTTGTAAACATCACCATTAAAAAACAATTATTTTTAGTAATTTAGCAGCTTTAGCTTTGCTTTTATTAGGCCTTATTTAGTGACACTAGTAGTAACTAGTGAGTAACTCAAACAAACTAGTGATCTCTATTTTTCACTTTCCTGCAAGCGCTCTTAAGCTATTCATTTTGAAGCACTGTGCTTGAACAAGTAAATTGAAATTATTAAATTTTTAAAAATTATACTTCATTAAATAATTTGAAAAGCGCTGATGCGAAATAGCATATAAATTGATTGTATGACCGCAAAGAGAAACAAAAGACCTTCCAACCGAGATGCCTCTCGACCCCTATTTCCATTTGAGATATAAGGGTCAAGGCCCCCTAACGAGAGAACTTCAAGAAGGGTTGTCGAACGTGTTTCTGTCTTTTACCAAAGTTTTTTATATTAATAGTAAATTGTTCAACATGCCACCCTGCAAAGGAACCTACTGCTTATTTAATTTTAATAAACTTAGATAGAGGCCCAAACGACAGCATCATCATTCCAATCCTAAGTTAATTATTTTTTATTAAATTATAAAGGCATTTAAGCTTCTTTTAAATTATCAAATGATTTTAAGCTGTCCAAAATTTTTAACTTCTTAAGTAAGTTATGCTGTTAAATTAGAGACAATTTAGTTATCACAAGTAAAACTTTAGAATTGAATTTTTATATCTCAAAATAGAGTAACCATTTCTTTGCAGTTGGGAGTGCTAAATGTAGTAATTCCTCCGGACATCTTGCCGGACAACGAATCTGCTGAAGGTTCTGGAATTTCGATAGAAGGAGGTATCATTCGTTTAAAATGCAAAGCGGTTGGAGTACCAGATCCTACCGTCAGCTGGAGGCGAGAGGACGGGAAAAACATTGTCTTGAGGCATGAAGGAGGGAGAGAAAAGGGTGAGTGAAGTTTAGCAATAAATTGTCATTTTTTCACAACAATGCTCTCTTCGTAAAGATATAAGATGAGCTTACAAAAGAAATATACGTGCCACCGCTATAAAAGTAAAAGAGAGTAAGTGCAAAGTGGTGTCGTTAGAGCACGATACCATAACATTTTACTTTAGTTTAAAATCCAAAGCCGAAGCAATATTTTGGTAACAGTTCGATGCAAGTCCTATTTTATTAGTATTGCTTGCTATCGAAAATCCGTACCAACTTCGGTATTAATTTAAAGAAAACGCTTGTTTATTGGTTGGCTAGAAATTTCACTTCAGTCTTAAACATCTTATTTTAATATTTAATATTTACGATAAAGTGAATCTAAATTGTGAAGGAATTTTAATAAAGGAATTTTTCACGGTAAAATCTCAAAGAGTTTCTGTTGATAAATTAACGACATTCTTTGATTAAAATGCTCAATTTTTGCGATCTAAAATTTAATGTATCATGTTTAATTTAACAGTATCTTAAAGGGTAAGCAAAATTCTGCTATCAAGGAATTTTTGAGATTCCGTTATCGGAGAATAAATAATAAGAAAGACAAAAATTGAACTAATAGTATTTCCCGAAACAAGGAATTATTTGCTTTTAAATTATTACTTGAGAAATTGATGCTTAATATTGAATGGTTCCGTCTCGCCTGTTCCATAGATTAAATCAAACAGGTTGCAAAAAAGAATAAATCCGTCCCAATAATTTTCTGGAAAGAATACATTTTACAAGCCAGACAGACAAATCTTACTCATTTAAATTTCAAATGGTCTATTACCCAGGCTGAACAGAAAGGTGATCCAGGTGCATTTGGATTTTGAAATGCACCTGAAAATATGAATCCAATCAAAGATATAAGAAATTTTAATTAATTTTTTCTTTTGAAATGCACCAGATATCTCCAAATGTTAAAATATTGTGTGCATGATATTTTCATTTTTTTCATGATCACTTTAAGACCAACTTTCGAAAAAATTAATTTATATCATATTCACTTAGGGTACGATATGTATGATACAAGTGACTAGAATTACTAATAATTACTTTTACCTCTTAATTAAGTAGGATATTCAGGAGCAAAAATTGCGAACAACTTATCGCTTACCAATTTGGGTGATTCAAAATAAAGGCCAAGTGTAAGAGACTTCATCCATTGCAAACTAAATTAAGTAGAACGTTTGTATAAAACTGCGAACGCGTAGTAAACCTAAAATATAAGATCGTAAGCGTATTAAATGTTGCAAAAGACGATTTTTAGCAAAATGTACGCCCGCTAAAGTTTTATGTCCAAAAGGTTATTAGAAATGATTGTTCGGCAGCCCGAGGGTGCACGTTTCATCAAATAGAACAAGCATTGCGACTGGCATTTATATCCAACAGCACTTGAAACCCAACTAAGCATTTGTCTTTATTCTTCCAATTGAATGAGTTGTGGTCGCGAAAGCCGTCTAGAGGCCCAATCGAGAGCCCGTTTTCCAGAAGAATTATTCGGTTTGTTTACACTGGAAGTTTACTGAAAAATTAAGTATTTCAGGCCTTACAATTCTCGCCATAACAGACTTCATTTTTGAACTGTTTACTTTTTAATGAGTTCAGCTCAGGCGATATTGCGTTTTTTGCCTTTCGAAATTCAGAACGTAGGCCTATTAACACTGGTTAATGGAAAAAGGGATCCTTGCCAACTTTTATGCGTATGCCAGAAAACCAATAAGCATTGCAAACTAATGAAGTGTAAATAGCAGAATGCATATCACAAAAGCAATACAAACATTATCGCTTACCAATTCAAGCTTTAGCATAATCAACACACAGATTCAACGACTTTTTTCGTTCTTTTTTTAACATTATTTCTAAACGGAAATATACACATATCTACAATTATTAAATATTCCCCTGTCCAACTGAATGATATTTACATTTAAAAAGTTATTCTTATTTAATTTATGGAACGTTCGGAAATGTATTTTTCATTTCTATTAAACAATAACATAGCATCTGTTCATTATCAATAAATAATTCGATTTTTGAGCATAAAATGTTCCCACGTAAATTTATTTTTCGATTTTAATTAAATGTATTCAAAGGAAAAAATGCAGAGAAATCTATAGCAGTTGATATTTAAATATTAATAAATATGAAAATATGTGTGAGTGTAGGTATTATTTTATTTGTCGTGTAGCCTAAAATATTTTTTTCCAGCTGTTAAAAGCTTCGATGGCGAAGTACTTACGCTGACCAATGTGCAAAGAACAGACATGGGAATCTATTTTTGCATTGCAAGAAATGGTATTCCCCCATTAATCAGCAAGAGATTTGAGGTCATCGTGCATTGTAAGTACTACACAACTTTTTCTGATATCCTAACACAGTTATCAATTCGTTTTTGATGCATTTTTCAGCAGCCGGTTAAACATGTCCACAACTCGGAACCTTATATAAATTTCTATGGAAGGTGAATGGGTCAGGGCAATTAACCTCTCAGAGGGTAGAAATAGTTATACTTACAAAAGTAGCTATTTGGAGTCATTTATAAAATCTTGTCTGAATATGAGGAAACAAATAAATCATTTTTAAAGTGAAATAATTGGAAACTGCCGTTAGATACACGGAAATATTACTATTTCTAAAAAAATTGTTTGCAAGTCCAACTACATATTTCTTTTTTGTTTTGGAAATAATATAAATCATGAAATGTTTCTATAGGTTTATGTACACGAATACGACCAAAAAGTTGTAAAGGCATTTTGGGAGCACTAAGTTATTGCAAGAGTAAATGTTGCGGAAAATTAAGTCGTATATACCAGTTTTTATTTATTTTCGATAAAAGCTTTATCAGTGTCAATAAATAAGTTTCCGTTTGGCTCTAAGGTAGAACAGTATTACCTGGGGAGTAGGGCGATTCTTTGTCGTTTCGCTTTTTATTACCGAAACACGATATTATTTTGCTATAAATTGATATTTTATGATTACTAGTCAGTTACAAATCAGACTTTTGGACAAAATTATGAAACATAATAGAGACACTTTCGCATTATTTATCAGTAATGCGTACCGATAACAGTCGACTTTTTCAATTGGAGTATTTGATAAAAATACATACAGGGAGCGCCCTGCAAAACTGTTGAAAACTGGGCAACTAAAACTGACAAAGGGTTTTTAACTTCATCGATAAAGTTACTTTGAGCTTCTCAGATGTGAAACAATCATTTCATGAAGAAAATAAAGCATTTCTTCATGGTATTTATGGTTAAGGTAGTTTGCAGACAAGAAGTCCGTGAATGAAGTAGTAGATATTAACAAAAATGGTCCTTGTTTTTTAAAGTTTAAACTGTACTAGTTGCACTACTTTTTGCTGTTGCGAACATTTTATAAACACGCTTTATTTTCGGTTTACAAATAATCATAAATCTAGCATGTTGAGACCAGCCTAGAACAAGTTTCTAGGTTCAGTACTTTTTTAGCAGAAAAATCGAAACATTTTTCACGGTTTTTAAGTAAATTCTAAATGATTTATTCTGATAAGGATATTCTAACATTTTTTTGGAACATCAGGAATTTTGAAAATGAGGACGTAACAAAATGTGTGTAAGATTATCGATAGTTCTGGTCTAGATAGAGACAAATTAAATGGAACCTATGCGCTAAGTACTGTCAAAGGCGCCACTCCATTTAAGTAGATTGACAATGACTTATTTACATCTTCATCTGAGCCCAAGATTCGTAGTCGTTCGTGCATTCGTAGTCAGTCAAGGTGTCTTATGGAATCTATAATAATTTAATGGATACTTTCGATTCAAAAGTCAGAAATTGCCTGCTAATTGAATTTTACAGAAGCAGCAAGTACCGGGGGAGAGGATTGTGTTAAAACAAATAATATATTATTTTGTGCCTGATTAGTGCCAATTTAAATTGCCAAAATGTAATTTTTGTTTTACAGTAATTTAGTTAATATCTCTTGAGTTGGAACATTCTGTATGATGCAAACGGTTTCCATTGGCCATTTCGTGCAAAAGTGGCAAAAAATGACAGCCCTTAAATTATTCTTCCATATGTGTTTCCGTCGCTTAACCTTTTTATAGTGACTCACATATAAATTTTATGGCTCTAATAACCTATTTAATATTTCAGTCCACCCCCTTATAAGCGTTACGAATCAACTTCTGGCTTCGCCGATTGCCCGAGACGTAGTAATGCAGTGCGAGGTTCAAGCATCCCCAAAAGCTATGAACCATTGGATGCGGGACACCGGTAAGCACTTTTCCCTTGAGTCGAGCTTAACCGACACGAACTCATATATATTACGCTATCCAGAGCAGCCCGATACCCACATTTCAAATTACTGAATGTGTTTTTCGCTCTTAGGGCGGACTTGTTAACTATACTATTTATATTTCCACTTGAAAATATTTAGCTCCAATCAGTGTTCGCCCTGCTCGCAATTCAATTTGACATTGAAGCTATAACAATAAATGAATTATTCTTTTAGTGAACAGTCTGTCGTTTACCTTGTGCTTCTAGTTATTGTTGCCCGAAAATATTGCTTTGATTTGGAGAGCTCGCTAAGAGTTAAGTTTAAGTGTTAAGTCGGCGAAATTCTAGAGGCACATCTACGGATAATAGATAGTTTTGCAATATTGTCCAGATATACACAAATAGGTCTACGGTCTCCAAGGGTCTCACGCAATACCAACAAACAAAAAAAAATCTCTTCTTGTTATTTAATCACATATTATGTACCAAAAAGGGGACGAAAACAGTCAGAGCTTTGCGAATAAACTCAATTGATAAAAGGGATTAATAAAACTTATCAATCTCTTCGCAGTGTATAGAGCCAATATAATAAATAAACTTGGTCGGACTACAAGAATCGGAATCTGACTAATAGTAAATTAGGAAAAAATCAGAAGTAAAAATAACATCGTATGTAAAAAAAATTGCTGAAAAGTGCTATTTTGTAGTGCATCACTAATCGGATAAATATGCAGGAAAACAATTTAAATTCTAAATTTCAATGTGATTTCTTCAAATCTACTCAAGTCAATAGTGATAACTAATGTTTCCTATAACTAAACGAATAGGATTTTATGTGTCAATATATGAAAAATTGCTTTACTTCGCTGCAGCTGCAACTTCTTGGATATGAAAAGTGATTATGAAATATTAGATTTTTTCAAGGCAAGACGCATATGTTTTAAGGGACTAATATCCGAGTTCGTTAAATGTTTATTTAGAAAAATGTTGCTGAAATGGATAATTATTTTCAGGAGAAAAAATTATATCCAGTGATAAATACGTAATGGAAGAGCTGCAGAAAAACGAATATTCCTTACAGATGAATTTACGAATACGGAACATCGAACGACGGGATATTGGTGGTTATATTTGTACATCATCTAACGCTTTAGGTAAAGCGGAAGGAACGGTTAGATTACAAGGTAAGGTAGACTAACACATTTCTACATTTTATCGATATATAATGGAAAAGCCAAAACTCCAATATGAGAAACTTGCTTCCGACTTAAAGACTAAAATATGTATGTATTATTGTGATATGTAAATTTCTGATTTGCAGTTTCCGACATTGCCTGAATGAATGAAGTGTATGATTTTGCTTGGCTAGTGAAATTGACGGCAATGAAATTATCGGAAAATTATGTGATAATATTTTGTGTCAACCGATTGTGATAAACAACAAATGTTCTTAAATAAGGAAACGTGCATACAACTCACCTAGAAACTTTTGTAATAACAATTAATCGTGAATAAACATTTTACAGAAATTCACTTACCGCTTGAAACAACAACAACGACCACAACGCCAAGATATGTAGCGACAAAACCGCATAAACCTGCAATAAAAACGGCAAAACCCAAGACTGGAAAAGCAAGGAAAAAAGAGTCTGACAGCAAAAAAGAAGAAAAAGACTCGGAAACTCCATTTCTCCCTGAAATCAAGTCACCGACACCAATATCTGTTCTTGCTACCACTACCCAGACTCCCTCGGTCATTTTGCAGCAGCGAAATGGCGCAATGATTTTATCAAATTTATATACATATATTTTTATTGGATGCATTTCAACACATCTGGTGATTCTAGACAATAGTTCATAAATTATTACTTGTAAGTGTATATAGAAAATATTGTTGGAAGTTGAAGAAACGGATGCCTGAAGTAGTTCAGTAAAACACTACGATGCATTTTACAGTTACTTGAAACTATCAGGACAAATTAAGTTAAATTACTGAATGTAACACATACAAAGTCTATCAAGTCATGAGTACAAGAATCTATGAAAAATATCTAAGCGAAAACATCCTACGGATATGTAGAAGAAAAGTATTCACAAACCCTACAGAAGAAAGGGCACAACTACGTTTCACCTTTGTGTATGTGCAAATGCTTCAGACATTTATTTCCATTGAATGCTGCACTAGTTGTGAATCGGAATCTGTCTTCGTTCATTTTGCAACTGCATACTCGAAGAAGTTTTGATTTGTCAGATGAGTTTTACCACCATATTTTTAGCGTTTCCTGCATCTAACGTCGTATTATGTAAGATTAAATATGTGAAAGTCATTGACGTAGTTTAATTATTCCTATTATTATTCTACTATTGAATTTGAAACTCGACACAAAACTTCATGCTGTATATGTGTAGTCCAACTATCAGGATTTGATTTATTTGAAAACTAAATGGCCGCGTTTCACCTAGAATGTTCCCACTTTTAACATGTTTTAATTGCTGGAATAAGTACGTTTTTTTCCATTATTGGCATAACGTGTCTTTTTGTTTTGGGAGTTTTTGCGTACTCAGCCCCACGAATAGTGTATATTATTATTACATGTAACACGTCAAATATGTAGAGAACTATCCAAAAATATAAAAAAGGTAGCTGTGTTAAAGAACTAAAATCGCTTTTCTTACTGAAAATGCTAAGAATGGTATCCCTAATCTCCAATATTTTTAATTTCGAGCAGTTAAAATAAACGCTAAATGTTCATTAATAAATTTTAAAACATTCATTCAGTGCAAGTCCATAAGATCCAACTATTATCATAATCCTAAGCATGCATAAAAAATACTTCATGAAACTACTCCCTGTAAAACAAATGAGCGGTAAACTAAACTGGCATCCTTTTCATTCAATAACTTTTCACGTAATTCGAAGTAGTTTTGTACTACATTCGCAAAATCAGCGAATATTGAAAATATTCATTACATTCAAGAAAAATATATAAATCTTGTATTTTGTACGATATTGCGGTAACTCTCTCCATCAAACAAAAATGATTCTAATTCGTTGTAAAAGTATTTTCTGGTTTACAGTGATGGGACACGGCAGCTGCCCATTTACCTATCCATTAATTTTAAAGGGGCTTATTCCCTTATTAACAATACAGGGTAATCTGAACTAATTTATAATATTTTTTTTATCATTAAACAGCATTTAATTTGTGATCAGTTAAAAGTTACTGTTTGATTTATAAGTTTTTAGAATAAGTATTGGAATTCCTAGACCATAGACAATAAACAAAAACAATGTTTCTGTAGTGGGCTCGATGACATTGTAGAATTATTATATTAACTCAGTATATTGTCATGTTAGTAACACATATCAAGAGTTGCTTAACAAATAAATAGTTAAAGATAGCTCAGAATATAGTCGTCAGTAGCCAATATTAAGATCAGCATATAAGACAACTAAGGAAATACAACCAACATATTGCTTTGGAAGCAGCACATATCACAAATTGGATAAAATGAACATTAAAAAGAAAATTTCTAAAGTAAGTGTTATAGCAAAGCTGCAAATAGCTACCCAAAAAAAATTCTCAGTATTTTGATATAAGCAGCAGGTACATATCAAGTGCTAGATCAATATCCCTTAAACATCAATTCTGCATGTATGTCCTAATAACCCTTATATTATTCTAATATGGCAATTTTCTGAATAATCCTTACAACGATACATTATACAATAAATAAATTTGAACAACTGGCTCGATACATTTCTTATAAGAAAATTTTACAATAACCAAAAGTTAAACTAGTTGCTTTAGGCAATATAGACGACAATAAAATACTCAGAACTATATCAAGCAAAACTGTTTAAATATCATTTAATTTAAGATTAGGGTGACAATAACATATACACAAATAATAAAAACCTAATATGAATGATTAAAGAGAGACACTATATATTCTCTTTTTTTTTGAAGAAAATCATCAGCTTCTGAACTAACGAAATTTACAAAGTGAATTTTAAATAGTTTTAGAAGTTAGTAAGTGTTCTTGTCATATTTCAAAAACTAAAAAATTGGAATTCTTTTAGTAAACTAACCAGCATATCCACATAAGAAGATCTCAAGGAAGTAAATACCCATAAAAAGAGACTTTTTAAAATTCACATTGAATGTTTATATTTGATAGGAAAGATTAGACGTAGCTATAAATCGTAAAATGTCTTCCGCAAGAACATTATATACAGTATTTGTGATTTTTTAGATTTAATTTTCAGTACCATAAGTCATAAGATCTAGTAATATAATGATCTTCGAATGTATTGACAGTATTATAGACGTACTTATACCTGTGTATACCGATTAAGTTTCATGTAAAATTTTTATGTGCCAACATTTCAGATTGAAATATTCAAGCTCTATTTTTTAGACTCACAATTACCAACAGCCTTTGTAATAATGGTACTATGACGGTACACACAAATGAAGTTTCGTTCGATTTAACAATCGAAATTCAATTGTTAAAATTGAATGAAACTTGATAGGAGATAAGAAATGTTATGCATATTACAATAATGCATTTTGGAAAGTAAAATAAATTGCGCAAACGCAACGTAGCTCTGAATATATGGGAAATGCAGTTAAGTTGAATTGTTTTTGTTTTATTAATTAAACTGTAGGCATCTAGGATAATTAATCTAAGTATCTACAATCATAAAATGTTTATCTAGAGTAGCTATAAAATAAATACCTGTTATTACATTTGTTATGTACCAAATTGATGTATATTGTCGAAAGCATAATATTATAATATATCATTATCTTTACCTCAATGAATAAAATTGTACGTTAATGACAATAATTCAATAAAGTATTTGTATAAACTAATGTGTGGTACTGAATCTTTACCCATGAAATTACGTAAACATAATCATGCATTATGTTTTATTGCAGGAAAACTTAATTCCTTTAAAAATCCTTACTGCCCATCAAGGCAATTATTTTCAATTACATAGTCGCTGAAACTGTAATACAGTTTAATTGGCAGTTGAACACAATGACTCCATATTTAGGTAATAAACGTTCCATTCATTTACAAAATGAAATATATCAATATATCGATTTTACAGCAGCCAGGGCTTGTAGATTTCTGCGAATCCTTATTCCTAATTTGTGTAGTCAAGTCAGTACGTTGAAAAGTACATTTCGCGAAGCTCAATAAATTCTGTAAAGATTTGTTACCGATCGTTGAACGCAATTCATAATATGCCCTCTTTAGGAAAGCTGTGCAAGTTAGGCACATTGATTTTTGAATAAAGTCAATATTCCATTCGGTTCTGACTAACGCTGTAGCATTCTCCTACAAAGTTCCACTTACCATAATGATGGCAGTAGGCATTTCATTGATTTAGATTAAATATTTTGATATGTAATAAAGAAATAAATGCACCTATGGCTTCAAATTCTACGATTTTCGTATCCTTTGAAGATAATTCTGTTTATATTTGCAAACAAAGTCTATTAGACAAATTTCGTAGTTACTAATTCCAAATGAGTTCATTTAATTAGTTCCCAGCAAAACATCCCGGTAAAGTACCCGCAAATAAAGTTTTTGAATCAATGCAGAGCTGGGTGTTAATGTCTGTTAATTACGCATTAACAGGTATTAATGCAAGACGATTGCCCCAGTTAAAAATATTTTTAAATTTCCAAAAATCTACTAACTTGGCGCAGCAATATGGACTGTATAAGCGTTTTCAATCATCTCGCTAAAACTAATAGCCATAAAGTGTTGGAAACAGAAGGAAAATCATGGGAAAGAGTCATAAAATCGAAGAGGATCTGGAAAACTATTGAATGCGAGCCAAAAAGTTTGCAACATATTGAGAGCTTTTATTAGCGACATTAATGGCGAAAACACTTTTTATGGTACGGATTTTATATGACCATTAACTGGCAAACAACCAGATAAATACCCGGGGTAATATAAATAATTTTTCTTATTTCAGCTAAAATAGTTTCAAAATTATTTGCATGTAGTACTTCATGTACTTGCATGTAGTAATCTTTTCAAGTAGGAGAACATTTCAATTTTATATTATTGTCAATATTAATTTTGCTGCAGTTAAAGTTCAGACGATTTTTAAAACCCAGTTTTATTTTATGAAACATTGGTCTTAAATATGTGATCCTATTTTCTTACCCATAAGGCATTTGTAAAATACCAAAAATCAATGGAACATATAATTGAAATATAGATACACGGTGATTCAAAATTGGCGTGATGCCTCACTTAGAGAGTACGAAAAAAATATGAAAAATGTTTTTTCCAATATTTCCAGAAAATATTAACACCTAAAGATCGAATTTCAACTTTGTTATTAAGCATTATTTTGAAATGGTCCCATCTTTGATTGGTAGCCTATTGGAATATTTAACCATTCGAAAAGAAAAATTACGACTTTTGCGAAATACGAACATTTTTATATTAAAAAAATAGTCTTACACAATTTTTAGTTTTGAATTTTGTTGAATAGTCAAAGCGGCAATGATGTTTTTATCATATAGATAATAGATAGTTACAAGTAGATAGCTTTTGCCAATAATAACAAGGATTTGTCAAACTCTGCCTTACTTTGAAGCTCCTTTCACAAAATGTAGACCAACATCGAATTTGCGAATATGTGATTAGTTATGGGAAAACGCCACAGTAACGCACAGCAGCAAAGAGCTAGAGGCAATGGACGATTGGCTCCAGGAATTGACGCAGATAATGGACGATCTTGAGATGCTCGGGGTCCAGCGATAGAGGAACACGTATTGGAGATAATTGTAGCAGGACCACCTTTTCAGGCATCCGTTAGTTGTCCCGATAACGCCCGTGAGGAAGGGATACATTCCTACCATGTGTGTAAGATACGCAGGACACTAGAACACATTAAATTTTTGATCTTCCCAACACCGGTACAAATTGAGCAGAAGTTAATTGACCGAATACGAGAAGCTGCTCAAAATGTGATACCAGACTGCTACCAAGAGTGGACGATAAAGTGATTGCGACACAAACACGTTTGGAGTTAAACGGGCAGAACTTCGAACATCGGTTGTGATTAAAAAGCTAATTATATTTTATTTGATCAATATTGATTAGCAGGAGGTTTCTGATGACAGCTGTGACGAATTTATGTATATCACTCATTTGCCCCAAAAAGGTTGACAGCTCTCTCTGCAAAGTGACAACGTTATCCTAACCTCAAAATATTTAATTGTAGTTTCACTTTCTTTGTTTTGTGTTTACCCATGGTTACTACAATATTTAATAATTAAGACGCAACAGGTACTTACGTAATGTTAATTAGGCATATTACTTTGAAAAAGAGTGTTGTCCTCCTTGTGATCTATTTTTTTGCAAATATCTCAGTCATTAATAACAATTAACTTTTTAAACTATTTTTCCTGTCCTTCCAAAGTACCCCCCCCACAACACCTCCAGAGAAATGACGCCAATTTTAAGAAGTATAGAATATTACGAACTAATCACTTGGAGCGTAACACTGTCCTATTTTAGATAGTAAGAAAAACAGTTGCAATTTGGTAAATTATGAACGTGAGAACAACTATAAATTACGAACACCGAATAGAAAATTAACAAGTGCATTACTTCTCAATTTTTCTGCAATTCTAAAATTATCATTTTTAAATGCTGCTGTGCAGAACCACATGGAAAAGTCGTCGACAGTACCAATTATAAATTGTTTTAAATCTTCTCATCACTTGAGAACTTCATCAGTTTAATGAATTCTAATCCGAATTAATTTGCCTATAATCTAACCGCATACACGTCTCTTCCGCTACCAACCTTAATTTAAGCTGTACAAAAGGCCATTATATACTGTCAGCTCAATATTAACTGCGTGGCAGAGTATTTCTGAAGTGGGTTAATTTAAGTTTTAGGGATACAGAAGAAAGCAAAGTAGCAGTTTATGCGACCAATTTAATTGAGTTTTAATCTATAAGAAGCAACAAGGAAATAAGTTTGGTTGACTTTTAGATGGAAATGGCAGCACTGAGCTAATTAGCATGAATGATTTTTCTGAGAAAAACTAATATCTAAGTTAATTATTTAGGTCAAGTGATTAATGATTAATGCTAAGTACGTATTTGCTGGTCCCAACGCACAGTACACGATATTACTGTAAAAACCATTTCCATACAAAATAATTGCATATTTTTGAGCAGATTTCTAGTTAATAAAGAAATGCCTTCAAAAACGACTACTAAATTTGCCGTCCATAAAACATTAAATTAGTAAAAGAGACTATAATTTAATCAACAAAGAACTTGCTTTTAAAAGCTGCTTAATCTACATCTTATTCAAGTAGGAAAAATCATCTAACAGAATTTCTTATTACCGTTTTAATTTTAAAACAAACCAGGATGTTCGGCTGAGTACGCCTATATAAAACTTTGCTTTTTCAAGTCAATTCCTAAATAGTTTATGAAATATTCCACGAGTATTCAAACCAGTAAAAAAATGTATACGAGGGAAGTTAGAGATAAAGATTCCGTTTTCGAATCCGCTCAAGGATTGAAAGAGACTAAAAATTTCAACTACCCCCCCGCCCGTAAAGTTCATCTATTTATGCAACGGTTCTGATATACAAAAATCTATATCAAAAACATTGAATGCACTCATACTAAATAATTTGCGAGTACAACGTTTTGAACAAATTTAACCAAATGGGGGAAAATTAACACTTCAAATGTTGTGCGTTCAGAAAAATAACTAAAAATAAATTGAATAAATCGTTTCTTGTTTACCATCAAATGCAAATAATTTATACAATAATGCTTAATTGAAATGATTAACTGCTTATTTATGATAAAACGTTGGTCGGGCAAAATATCCAATAAATCGCAAAATGTCAAACTTTATAATGATTTACCTCTTATCTCAATAGAGCTTTTATCTAATAGACGTGGCTTAAATATTAAGCTGGTACTTCGGAAATGCAATTGCCTTTGTTTATCTCGAAACTCACCAACGCTATATAACAATTCATCCGTAAAGTGCTTCAAATTGTGCTCTATTAGTAAAAGCAAATTGACATTAGAGCTGCAACGATTAGTGCTATAATTATTCGCATAATTAATACAGTAGTAAAATACGAAAAATTGGTTGTTTTAAGAAGTGTTATTGTAATTAAAGCAAATATATGTTTTCATTATTTAAGTTACCACCTTTAAGATGAACATATTAACATAAAACAATTCGCAATCTTGTGCGCATAAAATTTCCAATGTTATTATTTTAATTAAAATCTATGCGAAAGCCGGAAGTAACGACGCTCACACTACGTCGTGCATTTTTCCAACATTTCGCATACATCTGCGACAGATATAATGTCTATCAGTTGGAATAATATTTTTCGAATTCAAAGTCGATTCAGTTGATTCAAAATTCCGCATCAAATGAGACTTGGGATTGTGTTCACTTATTTGCCGAATTAGGCGAATGGTACTTGTCTAGGAAAAGATATGTGCAAATAGAAGGCGTTATTCAATGCAGTATGCAGTCAGATATATGAAGTTCCAGACGCCTTTTGTGCTTCATTTGCTACTTGAATTATAATTTTCAAACGAAAAGTTCATTTTTTAACTCTAAAAGTCGGTTTACTTATGGTGGTGTTAAAAACTTGATTGAATTAAGTGAATGCTACACACGAATTACCAAATTATTATGACTTTGCGCTGAAAACAACGAAATGTCATCACAAATAACACGATTTCAAGGAACAAAATTGGACAGCAAGTCAAGACTATTTTTGAGTGGACTAAAAGTGCAATCTGTCATCAAGTCATGGAATAGTGCAGCAAAAACCGCTGGCGCAGAGAAAAGGCGGTATTACTTAATGTATTCAAACGAATTGACAGAAACCTTTTGCCAAAGACCAAAGAAAGACAAAGTTTAGAAAGCCATAAGTATTTAACTTTCGTTGTCAGACAACAATTCACAATTGTTTATTTACTCCGAATCAGAAAAAAAACACTAACATTAACGCTATGTATTTTAAGAAACAATTAATAAGTTGGGGAATTTAAAATAGGAATTTTTCACTGTAGTGGGATCGTTAAATTCTCCCTACATTTCTTTTTGGGAAATTTTGGACTTTAAAACCTGACAGTGGTTGCAGTGAAGAGTAAAATTTAAATATTACTTTTTTTCTGCCATTTTCTGAAAGTACTAATTTTGTTTAACCCGAGGCAAGAACAGTAATAGAAAAATTCAAGTCAAGGCTAATATTGAACTAGCAGTTTCGGAAATATTAATTGAATCGGAGCTGACAAGAAGTTATACGTGTGTGTTTTAGTTATTGTATAGTTATCATGCACTAACCAACTAAAACAATTTTATAATAAGGATAAATGTAGGGTTATTCGGTATATGTACTGAAGAGAACTAGTTTAAGCACTTTTCTCAGTTTATCTCGGCAAATATTTGTGTGAGTTCATTTTGGAATTTACTTGAGGACTTTCAACCAAATTAATAGTTTTTAAGCTGCATCGACATACTGTTCAAGTAAAGCATAAGGAAACGTCAAAGAAATTATGTTAAATGAACGTAGACCGGAATTCGATTAACAATAATAATAAAATGTGCGTCATACTCCACCCAATTATGTCGAATTCTAAACTTGTTCTTGATGGAACAAAATAATGAGAAAGTTAGTTACTCAATCTTAATATTCAGTGAACTGCAATTAAAAATTGATGATTTCTATAGAATTATCTGGTAAATGTATAGGATGAACTGAATTTTGCGCCGCCGCGTTATCTTGTTGGGTTCAAAACGCGCCTGAACATCCCTTCTTGTATTTTAGAGCTCTTGCCGCCACATATTTGCCATCGCTTAGTTTTAAACTCGCCAAACACCTAGTCGGTCGACAGGAGCAGCTCTCGGGCTGTCACCACTTTGCGCGAAATTCAAAAGTTTCGAAGTATGAAACTTTGCAACTTGCAACAAAATTATCGTTTGCGTTTAAAGTTTGCTAATATGTAACAAAAGCTTAAGAAGTACGAAAATGAAATTAAAGCTGGGACCGATCTTGTTGCTTATTAACTTGCTCGCCGCGGAGTTTATAAGAGAGGAATTTGAGATTCGCCATAGGCGATCGCGCTTAATCAGGCATCGCCGGAATGGAAATCGGAATCACAAAAATACTGACAAAAAAACTAAAGAATTTATTACCGAAAAGACCGCAGTTTTTGAAGACAATGTGACAGTTACGACTATTGGAGAAGACGTCCTTGTTAAGTTGCCAGCAGCTGAAAGCACTTCTCGCCATGCCGAATTTGATATAATAAATATTACTGTAAATACAAATGTTGCTATAAATTATGAGAATACGTATGATAAATCATTTCTGTTCCTGGGTGATAGTTTAGACAGTTCGCAAACTAATCTCACAGATGTTAAATATGAGCGCGAATCAAATAAAACGCCCGCCGAAACTTATATGGAGGAAATACGAAAAAGACCTGAAAATAACAGCCGAATGGCAAATGGAGATGTAGATATTGTATCGCATTTCCTGCGAATAGTCGAATCTCAACATTTGTTAGGAGACAACTGCACTGCTGGGACTAATTTAACTCTTCGAGAAGGAGTCGTTGATCGTTATGCTCAAGAAAGATTCCGTGTTGAAGCCGATGTTGCTGTAAATAAAGCCAACATGCTTACCCGTCTTTGGAAATATGCTGACCCCAAAGTAGTTGACTCTGAATATTTATTGTACGCGTCTGTGTTTTCTATGGTTGAATTCGACGATGTAATTTTTGCTGCTGGTAACTGCTACGATCAACATCAATATAAAGACTATTTGTTGTTTTGCCCTTACGCTTATCGGCTTCCCGAAGGACAGATTTTGGTTAAAGATCTTGCTGTAGAGTACAATTATATGAGCAATTCTTCCGAGTGGTTCTTTAAAGCGCGCAAGAAGGCTGAGACTGTCATCAAGAACTTCGACCAATTTAGTAGAGGTAAGTGACCCGAATTCAGGATTGTAACTTTCCAGGCACGGTTTTGCTTAACCGTATATATCCAGTTAATTAAGTTATAATTTGTAAGGCATTTTTAGGCGGTTAAATTGCACCAAACGCAAAAGCATACTATCAGGTAGTATTACGAACAAGCCGCCTAATCATGAAGAAATATTCTAAATACAATTGGAGTTTTAACTTTTCGAATGTCTGGTAAACGTTACGGATCTCAATTTTCTACAGGCATTGTGAATACAAAGCTGTTTCCGAAAGACTGCTTCAGCGCGTGACTTTTCAACTGAAAATACGTTTAACTTTGCGTTTGCAAAAAGGTCGTAATTTGGCTTATTAAAGGGATGTACAGTAAAGGTATTACAAGGATTTTGAACATTGGTCACGAATGCGACAAGTTCAAAGCCATTTATGTCCTGTTTTATGACCAGTCAGGCGCATATTGCACTGGCTTCCACAGAATTTTCAACATATAGAAAGTTCTATAAAAACCTTTAATTCAGATGTATTATACTTTACTTATTTTATTTCAGAAAATAGGGCCAAAGTAAAATTAAAAGTTCGTATTTAAATTTAAATATTACAACTCACATTATAATGTTCCGCCAAATCCCATACGAAAATTCACCCTAAGTATGTTTTTATTAAAGTGAACATAGTAAACAAAGAGAGCAGGAAAAAAATAATTAATAAAAAAATTACCTGCAATGCAACATTGCTGTGTGTTAGTCAATAACTGAATTATTCTCGACATTCTAAACAAAAATCGTATAACACACTACATGTTCAAATTTGCTTACTTGAAGATTTATAGTTGTTAACATTATTTTTGATGCAATTCACTCAATTATTTGATCGATTATTTTAAATTTTGCTCAAACAGCAAAAGAAGAAGACACGGAATTAATAAATAAGATATCGTACCTTGATTAAATTGAAATTTTATTTTATAAACTGTTTAAAGTGTGCGTCGTTTACCTTTTGACAGTAACGAAGTCAGTGAACAAACAATATTTTCTAAGAATTTAGAAGTACAGTCAGAAGAATACCGGCAATACTACATTTTGAAAATGACCCCACAGAAAAACGTCAAATGCTGTCAAATACGGAAAATGGGCTGGCTGTTCAATAGTCCCCTTGCGTCCAATCCATTTCTCAGGAAATGGTTCATGCTCGTACTTCGCGTCCAACAGAGACGATCTCTCTTGTTGCAGCCATATTTGGTCTGCAGGTAAATTAGTATTATTATTATTCGCAAATAATCGCCTCAGCTCTGGTACAATGGATTCTCGTAAAAGTAGCAAATTTAAATACTACTGAAATCTCAAATTTCCCTTTATAAAATATGACAGTGTTACGTGCCCTCCAATAATTCCACACCAAACGTTGATTTTTTGTGGCCGTTGAGTATGGACTTGCTCCGTTCAATGTGCATTTTGGCTCTACCAATATCTACAGTTATACCGGTTTAGGTG